AGTAAGAAAAATAACACATTATTAATTTTATATGAATACTACTCATGTAAGGATAGGCTATCCACTTCCATACAATTCTTGTACATGATGTTCTACACAGTGAATACTTGGGCATTAATAGTGATGATAACACAAAAACTTCTCATACAGTTCTTGCCATAGTTACTCCATTGCACAGAAAGACACTCATACACATAGTACAACAGCTACATTGATTAACTGTAGGGCATGATGATTGCTATTAAGTGAAAGCAGATTGTCATAAAGGTCTTCATTCTTGTCTTCACATTGAATAGACTGGGGAGGAGAAAAGTGGGGATTGGTCTTGGGTCTCAGGGGTGGCAGAGTGGAAGAAGTGGAAGGGCAGGCAGGAGAAGAGGCAGGCACGCTTGGTATAACTTTATGGTAATAATTTCTGTCCCACTTCTTAGCTTTTTCATTTCTCTAAAAATGTTTCTATATGGTACCAAGCCTCCCTCCACCACATGCTTTAGTTTCAGTGTCTGTATCATAGAAGGGGCCGTGTTATAAGAAAATTCAAAAGCCGTCTTGAATAATTGGAGCCCTTCTGTCTGATGTCAGTTTGTTTTCTAGTACTGCTTTTCCTGTGTCTTCTTCCTCACTGTCTGGCACTGGTTTGGAAGTATTCATCTCCATCAAGTCATCTTCTTTTAATTCCTCTGGTGTGGCATCTATTGGCTCTTGAATTTCTCCAGGATCTCTGTCTTGAAACCCTTCACTCCCCCCCCATGCCCTACCACGTTTTTTTGTTTTGTTTTTTTTTTTTGCCATATCCAAAATGTCTTTCATGATTTCTTTGATCAGCTTTGTTGTAAATTCTGTGAAGTCATGCACAACATCTGGGCACCTTTTTCTCTAGCAGGAATTTATTGTTTCAGACTTGATGTATTTCACATTTTTTCTTTAATAATGATGGCATCTTCAGTGGTGTGATCTTTCCAGGCTTCCATGATTTTCTCTATCAGGGTTCTCTCCCCGAGCATTGACAGTCCTTTCCAAAGAGCACCGTATGTAACGAGCCTTCGAGATCCTCATGAACCCCTAATTTAGAGTCTGAATCAGAGATGCTGTGTTTGGGGGCAAGTAAATCATTTTGACACCTTTGTTGTTGAGCTCATGAGATTCTGGGTAGCCAGGGGCATTGTCCAGGATCAAAAGAACTTTAAAAGGCAATGCCTTTCTGGCAAGGTCTTTCCTGACTTCAGGGTCAAAGCATTGGTGGAACCAATCCAGAAAAGGGGATCTGGTTGTCCAGGCCTTCCTTTTGTGCAGCCAAAAGCCTGGCAGCTGGTGTTTTATCTTTTCCTTTCAAGGCTTGGGGCTCAGCAGCTTTACAGATATGGGCAGTCCTGATCATACACGACACTGTTTGCACAAAATTACCCTAGAGTTAGTGTATCCCTTCCTGGATAAAATCATGGTGTTTGCTTCTCTTCCTTACTGATTTTTGGCATTTTTTCCCCCAAAATAGGATACTTTCATCTGCATTAAAAACCTGTTCAGGCAGATCTTTTCTCAATGATTTTTTCAATAGCTTCTGGGAACTTGTTTACTGCCTCTTGGTAGTCAGAAGCTGCTTCTCTTGTTATTTTGGCATTTTTTTAAACCTCTTCTTTTTCTAAAATTATCAAACCATCCTTTGCTGGCACTGAATTCTCCAGCTTCAGATCCTTCACCTTTTGCTTTAAGTTATCATATAATAACTTTGCTTTTTCTCGAATTATTTGTATTAGAGTCTTATAGCACTTCTGCTTTCTTAAAGCAATCCTATACCCGCACAAAAGCTGCATGTGCAATATGAGATAAAAAGGTACTTGGCAAAAAGTGCAGTATTTTTGCACCTCCTGGCATAGCTGCAGGGATGGTATCATAAATTTCCTTTCCATTTTTTACAATGGTCATTACACTGGATTCATTTATCCTGAGATGGCAGGCAACCACAGCTGCAGACTTCAATCTATGGTACATATCAATCAATTTAACTTTTTCTTGTAATGTCATGACTTTTCTCTGCTTCTTAGGAGCACTTCAGCATCATTTAGTGGCACTTTGTGTGGGTCTTATGGTGTTATGCAAAGTTTATGGTATTGCACTAAGCATGATCAACAATGTGCAGGCGCCACAAGGTAGCACTTTTTACTACAATGGGCAGTTTACTGGAGAGAAACTGCTCAGACAGATCATTAGCATCACAAAGAGTTTATGTGGTTACTCACAACACCCTGAGCTCAGGGAAATAGCAACAGGAGGTGACTGAAATGAGTACAGTGGTACACTGTGTGCTACAGTTAGTTTTATGCACTTATGATTTAATATTGCACCTTTACATTTGTTTACATTTCTCTTGACTGTGACTGGCACATATAACCTGTATTAGTGTGTTTTGATAAATTTTAACTTTTTATAATAGTTATAATTGATAAAATATAACTTTTTAACTTTGTATATTTTGTGGCAGTAAGTAATAAAGTCAGCAAGTATATACGTGTATTTTATGCATTCGTGACAAGTTTTTCTTCATGTTTTGGATATTTCTAGGCTATATGGTTTCTTTGCAAGCTTTTTGGAAATTGTTATAAATCTCCAAAAAATTTCCCAGTATGTTTATTTTTAAGAATCTGCATATAAGTGGACCCACACAGTTCTAACCTGTGTTGAAGGGTCATCTGTACTCTTTTTTACCAATTGTTTACATTTTTTATATTTAATCTGTAAAATGGGGATAATAATACCAATCTCAAGTAGTGTTGATTTTTCTTGTTTCCTTCTCTCACTGGAGTCTGTTTGCTTTGTTTCCTTATTGCTCTGAATAGGTGTAAAGTATTCTTTTATAATTCTAGTTATCTTTTCTCTGCCCCCTCACCATTTAAGGTTTCTGACTACTGATCATTTTCTATAAAATTTTATTTGTGGTGTATGTGTGTACACCCACATAAAAGTTTAGCAGTTTCATTAATTTTAAATTAGCCTTTCATTTGGGCATGGGACAGATATTTTTAAAATACAAAATTCAATAGAAAAAGCTGCAGAATTTAATAAAGCCCACAAACCCTTTTTCGCCATAACTTTTACATTACCTTTCCTTGTACATATTCTTTGATTCATTTCAGTTCAATTCAACAGAAAGATATAGAGTGCTTACTGTATTTAAAGGATACTATATAAAAAATTAGGTGACCAAAATGCCTTTTATTTATAATCCTTTTTCAGTTTCTAAAACACTTTGAGGATGCATTATTTTGATACTACCAATAACTCAGAGAAGTAAATAGTTCAGATAGATTTATTTCCATTTTATATGAGAAATTGAGTTCTTGAAAGATTGTGACTTAACCAGAGTCACATAGCTCATGAGTGGCAGCTTAAGCATGAACCAAAGCATAAGCTTTAAGCTCAGTGCCCTCTTTAATTCTCCCATACCACCCCTGTGCAGTGACTAGGCATACATTAATTTATGCAAAAGCCTTTCCTCAGTGGGGTATGCTTTAATTTATTCACTTAGTATTCATCTTCATTATTTATCTAAAGTGCTTAAAGAACAAGGATAGTATCAGTTAAGTAAGATCAAAACCAGTCGTACAGTTCCATGTGGATATCTAGAAGGTGCTTTTCAGTTAAGCCAGTGATATGTCTCAAATGCTTCCATGTATAAGAATGGTTGTGACATATTTCTTCCTGGTGTTTTTTGGAGGGTGTATTGCATATGATTTTTGAAATAGTGCTGGGATGATATTAGAGACTATGCTTACTATAATCAGCGTTTAAGATCAGTACTTTAAATGCTCTTACTTAACATGCACCATTACATTGATTTTTTACTTGTGGTATTATGGATTATGTCTCCGTAACATCTTCCCCCTTTTTACCCATAACTTCTAAAAGGTTCAGAGTCAGAAAGCACAGAACTGTGTCTGTATTTTCTCATCACATCCCCTCTCGAACAGATAATACTTCCATTGCTCTATTTCCAGTTTGGCTTTGAGTCACTGTTGTGGTTCTGACTGTTGAACAATCTTTTAAAGTAGCAGTTAGTATTCTGGTTAAGTAAAAGTTGTTATGAGGCTACCATACTTACCAGTGTAGCTAAGGTACTTTTACATAAACCAGTTATTAGGGTCGTTTTGTCAGAGGTGTGTGAAAATTGAATTGTACAAAACTTCTCTATTCTCTACATGTTGATAATTGAGATTTACTGGAAATTAAAACCTTACACCCTTAATTCTGACATTGGAGAAACCAATAATCTGAAAAGTTCAGTAAAGCCATGGTTTTCCTGCTTAATACTTTAAAAGAAAACTTTTTTCAGTCTTAACTGGTTTTGTCTTACCTGATTAGATATTGCTGTTGTGTTAATTAATAACTTCAAAGTAAATGTTCTAATTAGTTTCTGTTATAACTGGGAACCATCGTTAGAGTACTTTGGAAAGCATAACAACACCTGCTCACTAGTAGCTATCAGTTAGTTCTTTGCCTGGCTCTCTCTATTCCAGTCTCACTAACTAAATGTGTGAACCTCTTACCATCTGGGTACTTACTTGAATTTCCCTCTAAACTAAAAAAAACAAAAACAAAAAAAGCCTTACCTGTTTTCTACCTAACGCAAAGAATTTTGAAAGACTACATGGCTGTGTTCAAATTCACAACTATTTAAACATCATTGGCTTTAAAATATGCTATTTTAAAATAGTAATTTATTGTAAAACCATGGGCTCTTTGAGTGTACCTCATTGCTTAGTCTTTATTTTTAGGATAGTGTGCATTTAAAGACCAGTTTTACTATGAATTTGACAGGGGTAGCCCAAGGCCAATCTAATGAGCCCAAAGGGAGAATTTGCAGATATGCAGGTTGAAGGAGCCCTAGAATTGCTTTCCACACAGTACAGGCTGTCTGTGTTCATTCCTGCTTGGAGATTTGCTTAAAGGTGACTATTTTCTTCCTTCTGTACCGTCTGATTCCAGTCTGCGCTTGTCTTTTATAGCTAGAGACAGTCGGATGGCAGCTTAACCTTCAGATGGCCCACTCTGCTCAAGCAAAACTAAAATCTCCTCAGGTTGTGTTACAACTAGGAGTGAGCAGTGAAGATTCAAAGGTAAGAAATGCTGTACCATTGAAATGATGTATTTTGTTTATTAGGTCTTATGCTTTATTGTTAGCAGGGACTTTGCTTTCTGGATTGAAAATTTAAACTTAGTTCAATTAAAATTAAACAAGGCTTAACAAATTTATTTGTGACACGTTTTGATGTTAGGTTCACCTATTGCTTTATGTACTTGGAGAAGTAGTGTGTCTTGCAAAGTGCTTTTCTTGCAAGAACATTTCATAATGTCCTCTTAAATTTTACAATGGAAAAAATTGGTAGTAGCCATATAAAATTATGATTTTAATGTTTGAGGTATTTTTCGGTATTCCTGGGTGTTTTGTGTTTTAAACTGAATACATATAGCAGAGGGAATGTTGTCCAGCCAATGCCTGGATGAAATGAGCTGAGTATTTATATTTTGTAGGTAGGATGTGTGTGCATGTGTTTAAATCCCAGTTCTTGTAAAATAGAATTTTGAATTAGTTTTACACTGCATGGTGATTTCTCCTTTAGTATTAATTTCAGAAAACTTTAACATGTTATCAAAAGTTAAAGGGTTGTTGCAGTACTGTAGCATATAGAGAAATACATACTTCAGATATCAATGAAAGCTATTGATTATCTTTTTAAGATAGAGAAGGGAGTGTGACCTGTTTTCCCCTAACTAAATGAGACTTTGTCTCATTTTAAGACAAATAAAATAGAGGTGAGAAACAAGTGGGAGGATCTGAGGAAGGAGTGATGACTGTGACTGAATAGGGCCAGAAAATAATGGAAGAAATGTTATTACTTCAAATGGGCATTGAAGGATGGGAATATTCTTTTTTTTAGCACTTTCACTATATTACATTATGCACATTTCTGGCTTTCATAAGAACTGGGACCAGTGCCTAGTCCTGGTTGCATGTCTGCGAAATTTTAGGCAATCAAGTTTGGGTTTTATATGATTTAGTAATTTGTAACAGTGTTTCAAAAGTACCATTTCATTTCACACACTTTCACCAGAAAATAATATAAACTTAGTGGTTAAGTGTTGAACTGTCTGGATTATTATATATGCTCCACAATTTAGTAGTGGTGTAACATGGGCAAGTTACTTAATCTTTATGAGTGTCAGTTTCTTAATCTCTAAAATGGGATAATATTATCTGACCCACAGGGTTTCTTGTGAAGTTTAGATACTCATTGTATGCAAAGCACTTGGTTCAATTCCGAATATTATGATAAATGCTCAATAGATGCTTACTGCTACCATTTTCATCACCATCATCAAAACTTTTTTGGGCTGCTGAATTGAATAAATAAATCTCTTTGCTTTAAATCAAAGCTGACACTGAATTTAATTCCTGATGGAAGTTAATCTTTTTCTTTCCCATTCATTCTTCTTTCCTTGTATTTCTTGATCATATTTGTCATATTTATGCTTACTGGGGGTTAGGGAGAGAAAAGACAGCCTGGAAAGTCCTTTTTTTCTTCTATGAACTAGGGAAGGCAGTCCCTTAGGTTTAGGATTATAATCTGGAACTCAGTGGTGTAGATGGTATTCCATGAATGGAAGCACACGTGATGTATGTACATACATACCTACATTCTCCAAGTAGCTGTATACCTTCATTGTTGCATTGCTCATGACTACCATATTCTGAGTAGCTAAATGCAACTTTTTTGAAGGATAAGTTAGAAGGATACTATTTTGACCCTATGTTAGGCATACTTCAAACATCAGGACGTTGGCATTGCTTGACTTGGGGATGCTTGAGTCCTCCCAGCTCCTCTACTCCTCTATTATGTCTTCAAAATATGTCTATGTGTAAGTTATATTTTTAGGCAGTAGAAATGAGTAATGCTTCTGGTAACAGTCATATTTTTAATTCATATTATTCAGGAAATCTATACAAATGTAAGATCCAACTCATTTGAGGAATAGGCTTGACTACATTTGTATTTTTCTTCATGTTGCTGCTTTGAAAATTTGAATGAACATTTGGTTACCCTTATAACTTGCAAAGCTAGAGAACCATTTTCATTATCAGACACTGGGAAGAAGAGCAGCAGCACACAATATAAAGGATATTTTCATTTTGCATGCAAACTTAAGTAAACCTCTTTTCTCAGTATTGCTTGTCTTCCTATAGCATTATATGGATTTGACCCCTGTCTCTTCTATCTTCTGGACAACAGACGTGTAGTGGAGTGTACCACCACTGTCACCCTGGAGGAAACATGCCATCTCCAAGTGATGTGGGCCCTAGCTGTAAAGGAGTAGTTACCTACCACGGCTCTATTCCCTTAGGGGAACTGCTGCCAGGAAGTTTTACCTTTTCTTTTGTTTACATTCTCCCTGTTTTTATGATCTGGACATCTACTCTTTGTACTTTTGTTACATTTGGTTCCTTGATGTTAATTTGTGTGTAGTTCCTGTTATCAAGGACCACATACTGTTTCCCCAAACATTTGGTCTGTTCTGAAATGAGAATTTGGAAGTCCTTGACAAGTTGGAATAGTAGGTTAAAGGAGCAGGAGTTTGTTTTGAAAACAACCAAGTTTGTTAAAGGAAGGGAGAGCTTTTACTAAAAGGAACATTAAAAGTTATCACTGGTTTAGTGTGTGATGCAAGGCATCAAGTACAAAGTTGTCATACTTAGTGAAATTGGCATCTGTTTAAAGCAGGAAGCATTAGGCAAAATTCTCTTAGATGTGTGTTTTACAAGGTAGTTATCCTGAAAATATACATATATTAAAATATTTTCTGAGAGGATTAGAGTCAGTGAAAATTGTGAGAGAATATTTGGGTCGTATTTAACTTTTGAGCTGCTAAACTGAAAACTAATTCTCTGAAGAGTGTGTTTTGAGAATCTCTTTTCATTCACTTCCAACATACACGTGGTAGCCTGCATGAAGTTTTAATTGCTATCACATTAGATAACATTGTTGTACTGGTCTCCTTTCTTCTAGAACATTTTTGTCTCAAGGCTTTCCTGTTTTGCTGCTAATTTTATCATGAATACTGGACAATTGTAGCTTTTCCTACAGTCTTTTGATATATATTCTAGTTGTTTTCAGTGAGTTGTCTTAGTATTTGTCTACTGCATTTAACAAAGTAAGATTATTTTCCTACTCTACAGATACTTCAAAACAAATTTTGTTTTTTGTTTTATTTCATTAGGGGGCAGTAGAGCACTTTGCTTACCTAACCTCTGGCATTCAGTGTTATTTGAAATAGCATTCAAAATAATTTGTGAAGTCAGTAGTTGTGAGAAATGCTAAGTGTTCACATTTCTAATGTGTATGTGTCAATAGAGTTCTCGTTTCCATCAACAAAATTAATGCCTATTAATCAGATGTATAGAAAAAATAAATGAAATCATCATGATTTCAGTGTTTGTTAATTTTGTATGTGATCATGTGCCAAATGACATTTATTAAAAAGCCTTTTAGGCTATTGCCTTTTGGGTTACATTCTGTCACTTATATTAGTTTATTTATGAGAAAAGTGAGTAATCTCCAAGATAGGTGAATGACTGTTATAATGGTTATAGTGTAACTAGTTCAAGGCTAATCATAGTTGAAATTTCTTACTTTATAGAGAATAGCAATACGTATGTAACAAGTGTCGGTAATTCTGAAGGACATCAACACTTTAACTTTGAATACTGTAAAAACAGTAAAATATTTACATTTTGCTGTTAATCTTGCATTATTGCATTTTCCCCAGCAAATTTGCTGTTCCAGACAAACATGTTTTGTTTTAATACAGTGATTATAAATTTTTTTGGTACATCTTTTAAGAAAGATTGTGTTTCATTCTTTTTTCTTCTTTTTTGAAACAACTGGGATGAAATCACCTTGACACAACAACTTTCATTTATCTTAATGTTAAATTGGATTATGCTCAGGTTGCAGAAGGTACTTCATGGGATTGGGACTTTCAATGCCAATTTTTTGGGTTAGAGGTCTTCATTCTTATTGCCCACGTATATGAAAAATTCTGGTTAGAGTGAGAAAAAGGGGGAAAAAACCCCATTTTTTAGTTCCTACTCTATGCTAGACATGGTATTACCTTCTTTAATATTTAAAACATCTCTTCCAGGTATGAAATCTTACCTTTATTTTATAGATAGATAGAGAAATGGAAATGCATAGAGGTTAAATTATTTTTCTAGGCTATATAACTAATAAAGAGCAGAGCCAGGATTTGAAACCAGGCAATTTTATTTCAGAGTCCTGTGCTATAATTCATTGCTAGGATACTGGGTCACCTTGTTTATTTAACAATTTAGCAGTTGATCCTGTAATACGTGTATATGTTTCAAAGTACTGAAAGCTGTTCTAAAATGCAGCGATTGTTTTGTTGTTTTCGTGTAATTATAGTTGTATGGATTTTAAATTTCCTTTTCCTTTTCATTTATTTGATTAAATTGAAACAATTTTACACTTCTAGTCGAGCGACACTAATACACACTTTTATATAGAGGTAAATTTGTATGTTTTGATGTTATCTCAGTTCTGTAGAGGATGCATTTATTGACACACTGTATTGGTAAGGGTTATGTGACATCATTGATGTTGATGTCTTATGAACAAAGAAATAGACTATATCATTAAAAAGAAAACATATCCTAGATCTATTATGACAGATTTCTCAGTAAGAGAAAAATATGTATGTTGTTCAAATCATGAAATTGTATATACAAAAATTAAAGTGTTTTGCTTTCTTTAGAAGTTTGTATTGACTGATTCAGATGTTTTCTGAGCTACCCATGAGAGGTCTGAATTTTACAAATTTTGTGTTTTTATTAAGCTAACGTGTGTAGTGAATATATTTCAGCATACTCCCTTGATAATCTGAATTTATTTTTTTCTCTGTTATTATAGCTGTATGTATTTATAATAGATATTTTGGAAATATAGGAGAAAAAAGTTAAGGCCAAATATAATTCCAATACCCACAATATTGTTCCATTTTGCCATAGGGACCTTCCAGTTGTTTTTTCCTATGCACCTATTAA